TTAGCACTAGCATGATATTTTGGAATGAGTGAAGGGTTATCTTTGGACCTTTCAAGATACTGCATACTCAACAGCCAGTGATAATACCTGGAAATGTCGTACAAAAACTGGTATTACAAAAAAAAGGTGTGAAGAAAATCAAGCCAAAGACGTTACCCAGCATCAGCGAAACGATTCTCATCAACAGCGTTACCAGTAAGCTGTTCCAGTACCCGTAATGCTTCTTGGTCACGACCCGCTTTGTGGTACGCTGGAATGTCGCGTAGTATATTCAAGCTTACGAAAGCTAAGGGCGCCAACCTCGTTGGGGGCGGGGGGAGGGTTGAGGAGAACTTTGGTCTCATCAAAGGCAGCGTTCATACGAGGCAGCGCTTCGGTCGCGCATTCGACGCGATCGATGCAGTCGAAAGCATGCGCATCGATCGCTTCAACGCGCGACCGAAGCGCTGCCGTCGCGAAGTCTGAACGCTGCCAAACGAAAGCTTACGGCAGTGGACAGTGTGCTCTCTTTGCTGGACTCTCCTTTTGGCAAATTTAGTCGTCTGCGAAGGGATGCATAGGTGTGGCTGTCTGGTCTACCCCAACTACGTTAGCTCCACACAGAGCCTTCCCGCAAGGGCTTCTATTAAATAGTGGAAGGCACAGTGCACGCAGACTTTATGGGCGGACACGGTAACAACTGTGCCTTCCCTGCTCTCGGGAAGGCAATTTCAGGGCGCACCAGGCACAAGGGCTGACCACCTCCGCCCATGTTCTCTCCCATAGTCTCTCCATAGCGACCACCGCGGAATAAGGTTTGACAGAATTCCTGATGAGGCTAACAAGCTTTGAAGAGCCCGCATGGAATATTGGCGTTAAGCTCCACTCACCTTTCTGAGCTTCTTCGAATTGATCACGTTCTGCTAAATATCTAGCGTACGGTAAATATACATCTTCAACAAACTTGGGATATCGATCAGCGATAGCAAAAGCCTGAAAATGTTGCTAGTGTTCACTTTGGGAACTCCATCCATGCTTCGAAGAAGTTTTGATCTTTTTTATTCGGCCTATCGTTTCTAGCTGGCTATAGGAAGCTACAATACTGATCGCGGTTTTGAGGTGTGCGAGGAGAACGGGTTCGACGCAGCACCAGCCCGTTTTCCAAAAACTGTTGTCGAGCTGGGAGACGGTAAAGAGGATCGTAATTCGCCGCACCGCCACGCGCGGCGATGGGCGCGGCGTTTTCATAACTCGTTTTAACCTGTCGAATGGAGCACCGGACTTCATGTAGACCCCGTCATGCAGTAGCTCAGTCATCTTACTGTTTTCGTTCCTTAATTGCATGTTGTAGCCATCTACTACCTGGGACCATCGTCATTTGTGGGCGCGACGTCGCATGCGACGCCCAGCAGCGCGGCGAAATTACGATCCCCTTTGTCAATCGAGGTGCCGCGCTTTCTGGTGGGAAAGCGGGTCTGGTCGCGCGCCAGACGCTAGCCCCTACCGTGCGTCTGCAAGCGAAAAGAGACTGCACAAAATTTATGTGAAAGATTTTCGGCAGGTCATGGAATGGAATCGAAAAGAGCCCACCTTGCCTCTTTTGTGAATAATTAAGAAAATAAGAAAGTATGTATACGTTAGGCTGCGTTTATACTTTGCGGCAGCGTAGCGTAGCGCTTCCAGCGTACGCCAGCGGCAGTGTCGGGGAAAGGATAGATATCGATCTAGCGTTCCCAGCGTCACCAGTGGTCTATTCTTTCCCCGACACTGCCGCTGGCGTACGCTGGAAAGGCTACGCTACGCTGCTCGCAAAAAGTTCGAAAAGAGCCCACCTTGCCTCTTTTGTGAGTAATTAAGAAAATAAAAGAGTATATAAGTAAATACAAGAGCCCAAACACTCACGTCAGTCCAATGCCCGGCTGCCACATGCATTTGTGCCACGGCCTTGATATCGTTGATATTGCCGTAAATTCTCGCAGCGAGATTGAATTCGGACTTCCGTATGAAATAGGCTGCCAAACGTCTTAGGCTATCAACATCGCTCCTCTCCAGTTTACGCATCACATTTATAGCTCTAGAGTCAAGTAATAATGAATAGGAATCAAAGACCGACTCCACCCTCATCATATGGGCGGAGTCAGGCCATTCATTATTTCTCTCTTCACTGATGCACCGTTACATTCTAATGCTGCCAAATGGACCGCGTAAATGAGGAAGGCGCGATAGTAGGTCCCGAACCCGCCCATGCGATATGCGTGTAGCATTCTCCTTCAGTGAAACAAGTGAATTTTAAACGTACAAGTCCATCCAGTCATTGTCTGTGATAAGGATAACAGCTTTGTCCAGATCACCGCTGGAAATGAGCATTTCGGCGGCTATCTTTGGTTGATTCGAATCACGAGCCCAATCGGCTCGCTTGCGCATTAGCATACGTTGTGTCTCTCCTGAGGCGCTCGCCATCACTTCCTGAAACAAGAATTTCATAAGAAAGGCTGTTTGTTCCTTGAGATTTCTGTAGCTGGGAACCATCCACCCTTTGCTGCACACTGTTTGAAATTTAGGATAGATTGTTATAACTTCGCGCTTTAGTGTAGAAATGAATGTAAGTATGTTACCAACTCCGGAAAGCGGAGGGAAGGCTAGTCAAGACAGTGAATTGTATGTTTAGGAGAACAGGCGGGATGCAGTACTCAAAACCGCGCCCGTAGGAGGAGTAAATGCGCACATAACCACTCAGTTTTTGCCTATGCAGGGTCGTTCTCGTTCAGGTTCACGCAGGAGATTTTGAGGAGTACTGTATCCCACCTGTTTTCCTGAAGACATGATCTTGCAAGAAAGACTGACAAGTGCCAGCAGTTTTCACTGTTTCATCGGAAACCCTGGTCTTACACTTCTGTCGTAGAAGGCGAACCAGAAACGGCTGTTTTCACGGATTCTGTTTGGTGGGGTCTAACGAGGAACGAGCAGTTGTTTTCCTAGTTATTCTCAATTACTTTGCCATCGTCTTCCTCAAGCTTTGCTCTAGGCTTTCAGAAATGATTGTGAAAGGAATCCTCGAGAATGGGGCAACCTTGCTGAATCTGTTGCACCAGAACTGATATTAACGCAGACGTTTCCTACGCTGCTCAATTTACCAGTATAAGGCCCATACCTGTGCATCATCGAACATTCGCAAGTCTGTGAACAGTTGCATGGCGCGATTTTCGTCGCCATTGTCGCGATATAGAGCAGCAGCTTCACGGAATTTTCCTTCATAACAAAGAACATGTGCTCGGAGTATGTAGTCTGGCTCGTTGGCTGCTAACATTGCCTGAAAACTGATTTTTATAAAGGCAGAGAGTACAACTTGGTAGCAGACTGGGTCTCTCCGCCCTCTGTTCTCATGTGAATCTCTGCTTCCGGAGCGTGTAGTCCCAAACATATTGATTTCAACATGAATCAATATCTAACCTTGATTTCATGAACGAGCTGTATCGATCGGTGATCCTTGTAACGAGCGAACGCCTTCAGAGCTATTTCGCAGTTTAGGTTTCAAATGGCGTCATTTAAAACATGGCTAGGATTGCCAGTCTTCTACGAGTCACACCAGACAAACGCAAATCGTATGCGGCTTTTCCCTAAAGCAGTAACGTCAAGGAGTTCCAAGGTTCATAAGAGTTCCCAAAGTTTGTAGAGGCTTTTGATGGCATCATGAAGACGAGAGAATATTTTTGCAGATCACGTTGATCTTATGGGCGGGGAGAGCCAATCCCTATGTTTTTCTCAGGGTGAGCCCGTCTCACGCTAGTGCTGAGAAGCGCACAAATGAAGAAGCACAGTAATTTTTGTCCGCAGTTTTGTCCAACGTTAACATGCTGACTCAGGGGTGCTCAAGTCATTAGGGATGTCCAGCGACGAGAAGGGGCGAATTTCGTATTTAAGGCCGCTGAAGAGGAGGGGGGAATCATTGTATTTGCCTCCGATAACACGTTCGCACTTGATTTTCGTGGGTCTCATTTCAGCGTGGCGCAAACCCGCTAGAAGGCAGTCTCTGGGGAAAAGGTGGAGGGCTTTAGGGGAAAAGATAATTCGAAATGGTCCGGGAAAGTGGTCGCACCAGATGAAAGATGGCAGTAAGTGGGAATAGATGTGCCCTCCAATAAAATGTGTTGCAGAAGAAGAAACTTCCAGGGAGGTCGTTATTTTGCAAAGATTTTCCGTCAAAAAGGACGTGCCTGCTGCCATCCACCATCACGTGTAGACAGCTATTTTTCGATGTGGAAAAGTTCACAAAAGTATAGGCGAAATGAAAAGCCTTTCGCAACTGAATGAACTGCGTATTAGCGGTAGGTGAATACGGTAAAACTCACTGATACTCCTTGTTTTCAATGTATTGATAGAGCTGATTCGAAAATGGTACTTCAAGAGCTTGCATGGCATAGATATGCAAGCAGTAGACCTTATTTCCAGAGAATCCAACGACAAAACCCTGAAATCGAGCTCTGTCAGTCTGGTGTCTGTAAAGGGAGCTCCTTCCGCACTGGTCTTATGGGCGGAAACAGTAAGCCGCCGCATCAGCCTTCATTCTGCGTTGGGGCTTCAGACCGTGCACACCTGATGCAACACACTCACAGTGGTTGACCTGTCCGCATTCCCCCCCTCCCTTCCCCATAGGATAGCGTGGACTGTGACGACAATGCATGAAACTACTATACTTCTAGGCGAGGTACTCACAAACATTCGTTGTTGATGTCCGGGATATCCTCTAGCTCGAACAGTCAATTTCGAGCTACCCGAATAACAAATAATCTCCTCGTTATCGCTGTTGAATGCTACGCTGTTACAGTTAGGTTCCTAAATCACAGATTCTCCAAATTAGGACCTGTTGATCTGGTAAAAAACTTTACAGTACTTCAAATAGAACTTCTTTAGTTTTGGCGTCGAAAACTACGCATAGACCACTGTCGTCTACAACTGCGATGTGTCGCCTGAAGATAAGATTTTCGATTGGTAAAAGCTCCTATTGAAGGGGGTTTCTCATAGTTCCTTCTGTTTTCTTCCAAAAGTGAACTGGTATAGTTGACAACGTAAATAACCTTGTTGCACTTATGTCTATGCATTTTATTGGACCATTCAGTTTGAGCACTTGAACTGGGAATGGATTGTCGACGAACAGTTTACAAACCTGAAACACAGAAAACATTTGAAAAACCGAGGGAAGTGAGCACGCTATGATGGGGCTGGTAGGGATGCTTCACAAAAACTATCAGATGAAAAAATGAAAATTGCAGCCATCTACAGGTCGGACTCCTATGGCACAGAAAAATTGGCAGTTGAAGGCGATTTCAACCCGAGATCCAGCGAAGAAAAAGCCTCTGTTCTCAGTGACT